CTCTGCTACTACGGAGTTGTGTCGAAATCACACTGCTGTTAATTGTAGCTTGTCTACTAGGCTTGTGTTTTAAGTACTTTTCTCTACGGTAGTGAAACTTCGGTGTCAATTATTCACTGTTAAACTACCACTACTGTATTACCCACTATTTGTTAAGGGCGGCGTAGACAAGGGATTCATGAGCCTGAGGACTTAGGGCCGCAAGGCTGGTGCTGTGGCCACGGACGTTGCAGGATAGGATGTTTATTTCTGCCCCCGACCTTACCGGTATCGAGCCAGTCTTTCACACGAGAGACATCTCGGCCAGTCCACATGCGATGCCCAAGAAGAATATTTGGCATTGAGTAGCAAGAGGTTACTCAGTTCCGGAAGGCATTGGCGACAGGGTTACACTTGGAGAATGGAGGATTGTAAAGTCCCTAAGGACATCCTCTTTGGTGAATTCAAGATTGGTGGGAGTTGTTGAGGTTAGCCTCTGCTACAAATTAAATTGTATGTAAGTGGGACATGAGTGATACGAAAAAAAATAATTTAAGAAAAAATGATTGCAGAAAGGTGGAGAGCTGATTGTGTGAGATCACTGGCATCATTGGCACCTTTCTGTCTTTCCAGACGATAGTGTTATATTGCGCTGTGAGGAGGCATGAGACTCACAGCCCATGGCGATGGCGAGTGTGACTAGCAAGACCCGCGCGTGTAAAAAAAAAAAAGTCCTTCACAATGAAAGCATGGGATTTCAGGACCATTGTTGTCCACATTTGTGTTTAATACGTTTCTTTTCAGACGCACAGCTCTCATCCTTTCTGCATTCATTTTTTCCTTCACTATCATTCCCTTTCTGATATGCCCTTTCCACACAACACAGTCCATTGCATTTTGTTCTCATGAGTCAACCTCAATACCTGTATCACTCATGTCCCACTTGCACACATCTTTATATCGTAGTAGAGGTCGGCCTCGACATCATCTTCCTGTCTTTAATTCATCATAAAGGATGTCCTTAGGGACTCTGCCATCCTCCATTCTCCAGGTGTGATCCAGCCACCTGAGCCTTCTTAGACTGAGCATGTAAAAGACAGTTGTAGTACCTGCTCTTTCCAGTACCTAAGTGTTTGTGATTTTATCCTACCACTTAATGTCAAGTATTCTTCTTAGGCATCGTGTGTGAAAGCTATTAAACCGTCTCTCCTGGTGCAAATAGGTTGACAAAGTTTCACTGCCATAAAGCAGAGTGCTGAAAACACAAGCCTGCTAGACAAGGGTTTTTGTTTTAATTGTGAGCTTTCTGTTCTCCCAAACTCTCTTTGTCAATCTGCTCTTCTGATTGTCTAAGAAGAAGCTCATTAAATACACATGAAGGCAACAACGATCTTTAAATCCCATGCTTCAACTGTGGAAGACTTTTTGTTTTACTTTTTTAACGCGAGTGGATCTTACTGTTCATGCTCGCCATCGACATGACTGTGATTTCTGTGCCTTTCCAAAAAACACTATCACTACGCTATGGATTGGAAAGACACAGTTTGGTTTGAACAACAGATCAACATCATGGCACACGGGTAGTAGCCCATAAGTGCTCCGTTCTACTTCTGAATTTAGTCCGAGTACGAAGTAGCTCAGCCCAGTTTATGGGCTCCATAGCACCGGCGAGGATCCTTAAATATTTTGGGTAGATTTTAAACTGCAAATTGTGCCCGGGCAGCGCCGTTAGGCTACTCTTTTCGATTTCTTACTGCCAAAGGCTTTTTACGTGTGCAACAATACACACCGGCGTCCGATCTTACTTTCCAGAGACCAGGGGGCGGGGAATTACTAGAAGTTCCACGTGAGAAGAACGAATCCCAGTCTTTACTGGGGCTTGAGCCCGAGACCTCTAGAACTCGAGGAGGACACCACACCTCGAGACCACGCAGCACCCTTAGAAAGACGTAAGCGTACATAAGTATAGGATCGGTAATATTATTTTAGAAACTAGCGGTTACAGTTTTAGATGTAACTAGCCGCCAGCAGACGCCACAGTGGGAACTATCACCGGAAGTTGTTCTCTGTGCACACATAAATATTTGGTCTATCGGACAGGGTAGAGAATACAAGGCTTTGTTGTTTTTAAAATTATTTGAGTAACTCGTTTGTGTCGCAGCAAAGACTTAACCCGGGTTTAATAATTATATAGCGGTGTGTTAGATTTCTGATATGTACACGTTTCTCCTTAGTTGCTAGACATATCAAGTATGTTAATTGACTGGTGACTTACTACTAGTAAGTCATACTAGGCATATTCGGCGCTTCTTTGATTTATTCCCCAAAATGGCGGCATGCCACATTCTGGCCATAAAATATCGCAAACGACGGTGTACGCGTATATCTAAAATACGGACTTTCTGCCAACGAACAAATCGCGGCAAAACTAGGATTACTTGACAACCAATATCAACATTTGCACACGGTACTAGTAGCAGACGATAAATACCGACCGTTGACAAAAATTTCGAGCGTTTCTGCAGACGACGATACTAGCAGACGATATTAGCGACCATTGACCAATTTCGAGACATTACAGACGATGTAAGCCGATTAGCAATACTGTGTTCTTCCGATTGGAGCGGTAGATGTCAGACTTGTCGGCATGCGCCAAACGCGATTAAACTCATCGCCGAGCGTATCTAGGTGCCTGGGACTCACGAGTACAGTAATTGGAGGAAGTTGCAGGAGATGCGGTAGCTGTCACTCGTGAGTCCCAGCCATCTAGTTTAGCCCCCATCCGCGCCGCGCGTAGCAGCGCGGGGGATACGCTCAGCGGTGAGGCACACTCGCAGAAGCAGGTCGGCAAGCAACGTATCGCCCAGACCCTGTCAGAGCATTTGTTTCGTTATTCGGAGCCGGCACATATATTTTTAATAGAACTGACCCCGCATTCGGATATTTTATGGCCAGAAATTGGCCAATTTAGCTCCTTTTTTAACGCCATCATATTACAGCCGCCTTGGGGAACGATTCAAAGAAGCGCCGCATATTCATTCATTAACAATGTTTTGGGTAAAAATCGTTTGGTTTTCCAAACCGTTTTGGCTGTTTTGTAAATATTTCTCATCAGTATAAAATGTTCCAACTACAGATGATTAATCCTCCTAAATCATAACTTTCCTTATTTTTGTAATGATGACAGTGGGGCATATGTTCTCAGCCAATTAACTGCAATCTCTCCAATCGATTGCAGTCCCTCCACATCGCCATATTATTATTCGGCTCTCCATCAATCTTCCCCCACATATCAAAATTATGGCGGCCAAAAAAAATACCCTAACAGGGCCTCAGTCGTGTGTAAAATGCGGACTGCCTGTGGCGAACATATCGCGGCAAAACTAAGATTACTTGACAATTTCAAGAGACAACATTGCAGACGATAGTCGCAGATGATAGCAACCGTTGATATTTTCGAGCATGTCTGCAGATGATACTAGCAGACGATACTAACGACCATTGACAATTTCAAGCGTTTCTGCAGACGATAGTAGATAAAACCATGCGCAAAACGCGATTAAACTCACCGCCAAGCATATCCCCCGCGTGGCACGGAAGGGGCTAAACTAGATGCCTGGGACTCACGAGCTAATTAATTGGAGGAAGTTGCAGGAGATGCGGTAGCTGCTGCTCATGAGTCCCAGCCATCAAGTTTAGCCCCCCCCCCCCCCCCCATCCATGCCGTGCGTAGCGGCGTGAGGGATATGGTCGGCGGTGAGGCATAGTCACAGAAACAGGTCCCCAAGTAACATATCGCTGAGACCCTGTTAGAGCATTTGTTTGCCCTTGATAATATTGGCCCGTTATTCGGAGCCGATCCTAGTTTTGCCGCGATTTGTTCCTCGACAGGAACTCTGCATTTTACACACTACTAAGACCCAGTTAGGGTATTTGTTTGGTCGCCATAATAACAATGTTAATATTGACAAAATATGCTGCCTTGCAGCCGTTTATGACTGGTTAATGCTGTTACATTACAGGTACTTATTTCAACTCTTGGTCTGATTCCTAAGTTTTCTGTCATTCCATTTCATAATTTCTTGTCTTGTTCAGCTATTTCCAGTTCCATACATAGTGGCACTGATACACTCACTTGCACGCTTTAAAACTGTTTTCCTTTGTCAACATATTACTCTCATATCCAGTATTTTCTCTTCAGGTATTCATTTGTTTCCTCATTTCCTAGAACACAGCTCTGCAGAAGCTTGCGGCACTCTTCCGAATTCACTGTTAAAAAAATATCACTCAGGGTTTCAAGAGGTCATATATTTAAAAATATCGAATAGGAACACTAGGTACCTTGCCAGTTGCATAGGCAGGGGGAATGCATCTCCACAGATCTCGGTCTTTGGTGTTCTGGATCAGTTTCACTGATAATATTCCTCCGTGCCACTGTCTTAAGCCGTCCACCATCAGTTCTCTTGGTCTGCCTCTGCCTCTTCTATCAGGGATTTTTCCAGCCGTCACGATATTTTCTAGTGTTCCTTTTCTCATCACATTATGTACACTGATACTGCCAATCACTGCCTTTATTTTATCACATTTGCGGTGAGCCTGAGGATTTATGGTCGCGTGGCTAGTGCTGTCGCCACAACTGTGCAGGGGAGGATTTTATTTTGCCCCTGATACACTGATACTACTACATAAAAAACAGTTAAAAATAAAAAAAGAAAGTTAGCTTTTTAAGTGAGACTTCAGGAGTTATCAGAATCTAAGGGCATAGCAGTGAACTGTTGTGACAAATATGTTTGATTAGTATCTCTTAGTCTGATATTTGTTTCAAGAAATGTGGTCAGTATTATTATTGAATGTGCACTTTAATGTTGTCTGCTCTTTCAGGTTAAATGAAATATTTTTTATTGGCTACCATAAAATATTTGAGACGCAGCAAGGCTGAAACACCCACAGGAACGGTGGGACACTAATAACTGTTTCTAAAAACACATACGAAGTATAAGAAACCAACAGCAGTTTGAAAGATGTCAGGGTTTCTGGACAATTGTCGTTGGCCGAGGTGCGAGTGTGCAGACTTTGGAGAAAAACGCAACTTCATTGTGTCTGTTATTTCTGGTGTCATGGTAAATATTATTGTCAAACTTAGTTAATGTGTGTGTGAGCGTGTGTTATGTGTAGGAAAACCTGTTAATATGTGTGTGTCAAATGTTATACAGTATTAGGCATCTTATCATGAGTTTATTAGGCTCAATATTGCATCACAAACTAATTGGAACACTTTTTTCCAAGCTGCACACTAACCCACTCTGCCGCTTTTAATCCTTCTTTTGCATGGTGTTAATAATAGCCCAGTACAGTTACCGCTTCTTGGAATATTACCAGTTCAATTGGATATGTGTGAGAGTCAACTGTTTATAGTGTGGATATGTGTGAGAGTCTACTGTTTATAGTGTGGATATGTGTGAGAGTCTACTGTTTATAGTGTGGATATGTGTGAGAGTCTACTGTTTATAGTGTGGATATGTGTGAGAGTCTACTGTTAAAAGTGTGAATGTGTGTGAGAGTCAACTGTTTATAGTGTGGATATGTGTGAGAGTCTACTGTCAAAAGTGTGAATGTGTGTGAGAGTCAACTGTTAAAAGTGTGAATATGTGTGAGAGTCAACTGTTGATAGTGTGGATATGTGTGAGAGTCAACTGTTAAAAGTTTGGAAATGTGTGAGAGTCTACTGTTAAAAGTGTGAATGTGTGTGAGAGTTAACTGTTAAAAGTGTGAATGTGTGTGAGAGTCAACTGTTTATAGTGTGGATATGTGTGAGAGTCAACTGTTAAAAGTGTGAATGTGTGTGAGAGTCAACTGTTAAAAGTGTGAATGTGTGTGAGAGTCAACTGTTTATAGTGTGGATATGTGTGAGAGTCAGCTGTTAATAGTGGGAAATATGTGTGAGAGTCAACTGTTAATATAAATTTTATGCATAGGATAGCTATTCCTCATCACTATCCTGTTGTGCCATTATATATGACATAAGACTTCACAGTCTAATCCCTTATTCTGCGCAATCTTGTGCAAGCCTCTCAGTATCATGGATAGAATCCAGTCCATTACCTTTGGTTATTAGCATTAGAAATTATGTGAATAAAATTCTTGGAATGTAATTCACATAAACTCATAGATTCTCCAGTTCCTTCAGCATATGCTGTGAGGTGTAGACACTAATTGTTCCAGCAACTCACTGGTTCTACACTTTTAGGATCCACACCTCCTTGCTGGAACCACACGTAAATCGGTATTTGAGTTAACTTCTCAATTAGAATTCTATGTTGATCTTTTCCTTTGTTTTTCAGTACAAATAAAATTAAGACCATCAGAACAGCCATCCTTTTCTGTGTTGTCTCCTGCTTTGTTTTCATGTCTTTTCTCCTCCTTTTCTTTTTTCACTCTGTCTCTGATTCACTTTTCAGTGTATTGTTTTTTTCTTTATAATTTTTCCTTTTCTGCTATCTTTGATTCTCCAACGGAGCATAGACCCTTAACCAGCTGTGACCAAACACTCTATCTCTGTGACAGGATAATCATTTGTATGTTTAACAAGTGAAGTTTGATGTGTTGTATAATATGTTGGCAGCCAATATATTTCCATCAAGAATTAGATGACTAATATTCAGTATATGGCACCTATAATTTATTCTATCAAGAATTAAACAATCAGTATGGTTGGCACCTAGAAGTTTCCGCCATGATTTACAATTATTGTTTGCAGTTTTTCACCGGCTGGTGGTTTGTCATTGACGCTGCAGCACTATACCCAGACACTGAACGCTTCAACCACGCCTTCCAGACGCCGGGAGTTATATCTACTGTTGCATTTTTTATGTGAGTTTTCTTTTGACTTTTGCAAGTGCTTGAGTTGATATGTGGTAGTATTGTAAATGAATGTGTTTAATGGGTAGCACTTGATGCCATTAAGAGAAATATTTCTGAGAAAGTGTACAGGAAGCAGACAGATAAACAAAAGAGGCAGTCTGCCATGAAGCAGATAAAAACAGCACATCATTTTTAGTTTTGAAATATTGTTGTCCCAGTGTAGGACACAATTTTTCTTTATTTTAAAACCCCACCCCGACTGTATTCGGGAGCCCTAATATAACCTAACGGTTGAACAGGGTTTCTGGGACTTGTGTCTGAGTGTCCTCGTTAGAATAGTGGTACTTTGTGTCACCAGCTGTTGGTTGCTCATTGTACAGTCCTGGCGAGGTTGAACATCACACACCATATAATTATGAAGTGTAGACTAGATTGTTGGGGCATGTTACGAGGAAAGGCACAGTTGAAGACTAAATGACAGCTGTCAGATTTTCTTTTCTTTTGTGTTCTCCATTAGAAGCATGGTTGCATTTTGTACTGTGGTTTACAGCTAGGCTGTAGTGTCAGTACCTTTTAGCCCACCACATTTGATTAGTTTATACTCTTCAGTCTCTTGCCTTAGTGTTCAGGCTGACTGAGTCCTCGGTTGTGCTTACATCTATCTGTATAAGATCTGTACCTTCCTGGTGAGCTTCATGTTGTAGAACTCTCCTTCACCTCTCTAAGCCCAGATACCAGCAAGGTTGTGTAAGACCAGTAGAGTGTCGTGTTCAGACATAAGTTAGTCATGATTCAGCATAGCACATGTGGATGAATGTGAGTGGACCTGGGTTGTAGATGTTTTTCTCTGCAGAGTTTAGGTGTTTCTTTGACAGTGTACTACTACCCCTGTGGGTCCTAGGACCCCAGTTTCTTGTTGGGAAAAAAAAAATACGAAACCTGCTACCCCCCAACAAGCGTGTCATAAAAGTCTAATAATTAGGGTGTTTCTTTTCTTACTGGAGTGCATCTACCTGAGAAGTGGGGAACCAAATCGGTATACAAATAAACCAGATCTGTAAAACAGATGTGCATGCAAACCTAAACTTCTGGAACAAGGCTAAAGTCCAGAAGTTTAGAAACAATCAGAATTTTTATCCGGAGTTTACAGCCTGTGAATGCGAATATGGAGAAGAAGAAACATACAAGGTCTGACAATTAAGTAATGAGATTAATTCCATCAAAATTAAAATAATCAACAGTTGAAGATATAACCTGTATTTTATTTAAAGTAAAATACTTGTGCATTGATACAAATGGCACGATCTAACAAACAATGGAATGACCTCTGTAGTTCTTCTGTTGTTGTGGCCCGTAAAGTCTATGTTATGGCCCTTTTAATGTCATCAATATCATTTAAGAAGCGTCCTTTCAATCATAATTTTAATTTTGGAATAGAAAAAAAATCACAGGGATACAAATCTGAAGAAAAGGGTGGAAGACTGAAAACACACTTGTTTTTGGGCTAAAAATTCTTGTTTTGATGATGTCTCTTGGGTACTCAACCCTCTGATGTTTTTGTTCATCAGACAACAAATGTGGTACAAACCAGCAAGCAACTTTTTTCTTGCCAAAATCTTGCATTAAAATGTTATGAACAGTCTCTCTATTAACACCAGATTCATCTGCCATCATGCTCACAGTAAAACAATGATCTTCTTGTATCTGTTCTCTGACTTTTGACTCTACATTGGTAAGTTATACGTGCTAGTTTGAAGGCATATTTGTGGTACAGTGATTTTGGTGATGCCGTGTCACTTGAGGCATTTGCGGTACGGTCTTACGGTGGTACATGAGGAGGTCATGTTGGAGGTGAAGATTGTCCCCAAGATGGAGGTCAAGTGACCAGTTTTCCCCCAAGATGTTGTTTAACTTTGTCTTTAAAAACGTTTGAAAAAAATTTTAAAAGTTTAAGTTTAAAAATAGCTTTATGTCCCTTTAACACAATAAAACTAGCTGTTTGAGACAGACAGTATCATTATTTTTGGACTGGAAGGGGAGACATCCTTTCACCTCCCTGATAGCGGGACCTACGGGCAGTGGTAAAACAGTTTGTGCAAACATTTCTAAAACATCTAGGGGATATGGTCGACCCTGTACCGAATAAGAATTATTTGGTGCTAAGGGGGAATGGCAACCCCTGTATGACAACATGGAAGGTGTCATCTTTAACTAAGGCCTGTCCGGTGTGAAACATTGGTGCGGTGATAGGTGACGTCTAATGGTTATAGACAATTTGATGTCCGAGACAGACGACAGAGTCACCAAGTTGTTCACTAAAAGCAGTCAAAACATACTGTTTGTGTTATTCTGAACCTATATTCTAATAGTTGTGCTCCTTTACATACCATCGCAACATCAGCGTTACTTATATTGTACAAAACATTTTTGGGAATAATCAAGAACAAAGAACCATAAGTCTCAGCTCACAGATTACTAACTTGGCCAAACAGATGTATCCCGGCCGCAATGCCTACGTCCAAGAAAGCTTTACAGACCCGAGGGCTAAACCTCACAGTTCCGAAAGGGAACACTGGATATTTCCAGATCAACTTTCAAGTTGTTTACATACCTAAATAATATTGGACAAACTCAAGCAACATGGCAAGATGCTGCGTTTTTTTGTCCAGTAAATACATCAGCAACTCTAAAAGCCCCTAAAGAAATGTTATTAATTATTTATTTTTTACAAAAAGATCCTTGTGCCTTAGCCTTCTTCAAAATGTTTAGATTATTCAGCTTTTTTTTTTTAGGTTGGGTTCATTGAAGTTCCATCATTTTTCTGTAACAGAAGTGTAGCAGTTTTGTTGAAAAACAAACTGATGCTTCATACATCTGATTCTGTTATAGATTGCACTTCAGGTTTTTTTCATTTAATGATTATTTGCTTTCCGGTAAATTAGTTGGTTGTTTCGTGGTCTTGATGCTGTATGTATTTTAATTTTCTTATCATTTTTGACTGAAGTCAGTTGCTTCAAACATTGTTTTTGTTACAGGATAAACTCAGTGTCTAATGGACAGATCAGAGGAGAAGCCTACACTACTGGCTGTATGGGACAGACTGGTTCGTTCTTTGATTATTGTTTTTGTTTTATCTGACATTTTATTGTGTTGTAATTATATCTTATGTTGAATAGTTATATTTTATACTGTGTTACTATATTTTAAGTTTCGCAGTTATGACTTTTGTTTTATAAGTATGTCTTATGTTTTATAATTATACTAGATTTAATTACCCGGCTTAGCCCATGATAGTAAAAAAAATTATTATTCTCCCATCCTCTACCTCTCTTGGTTTCCACCGCTGCCCTGTATGTAGGCCTGGGGAAAATGGGGGTCTAACTAAAATCCTATATTTAATATTCTGTCTTCTACTTCATCTTGTCTGCGCCACTGTCCTGTCTTTAGTATTGCCCCCAAGTGCACCCGAGGCAACCCCTGTAATACTAACTCCAAAATGTAACAGTTTGGGAGACAGACAATTATATTGTTTCAGATACATATAGATATGTGGTTTCAAATATAACAGCACAGGATAATTTTTTTGAATTACCTTTTTTAAGGGTAGTAGTAGGAAAAAAGATATGCAAAGGGATATAACTTTGGGGAAGTTTACTCTTACTGCTTGTTGCAATAAATGAAGAAACACACAATAACCTGTGCCACCAATGTCACTGTTATATTAAACATTGTGGTCGTAATAGGAAATAAAAATTTAACCCGTGTATTGGTGACAGTTTGGGAGGAGTCAACACTTCATTTATAATAAACACACAAAATACAGAAAGGGTTTGTGATTTGTAGTATAGATATATATACATATATTTTTTGTTGTTGCTGCAAACATACAATGCTTTGCCAATTGTCTTCCCTTTTTGGGATGCAGGTTTTCGTTATTTGAAGCCCTACTCTGGCTCTTGCCAGGGGTCACTATATAGCCCAGCCATAAATATAATCTAATGGCTGAACATGGTTTCTGGGACCTCTCCACGGGTGATCCTCATCCACATGGTGGCACCTTGTGTCATCAGGTGTTTATCGCTTTTGTGATGTCCTGGTGGGGTAAAAGAAGATAGATAGATACAAACATACATTGCTACAATACAGAAGTGAGTTAGCTCTGTTCCCAAAAACAGACTGTACAAGAACGGATTACTAGAAATCAATGAGGAAATCCTCAAAAACGGCTGATCCCACAGAACAGTGACAGAGTGTCATTATCTGAACCACTTTCCAACCACCATAAAATGTTTGGAATGAAGCACTAAAGTATAGTTGGGGTGACAACCAAACAAGTTCCGGTAAATCAAAGGATGAGGCAAAGACACCAGCACTATATAGTTAAGTTTATTGCTTATCCTTTACAGGATGTTACAGAACCAACCACAACAGGAAAAGAATATAAACTCCGGCCACATTATGAAGTGTGTTCGCAACGCCTAAGCCACAGACGCATAATATAGTACACACATTAAATGTCTAAAGTTGATCTAAGTTAAAAACTGACACTGCAGCACTCAGGACATTCCCATAAGTGCTCTGTCCCCATTCTTCAGCAGCCAGGGCAGAGTTCCAGTGCTGATAGTACCAGGTGCAGTCTAGTTGTATGTCGATTTTGCCTTTCTTGTGAGTATTGATGATTGGCCTGATACTCTTTCACTTCCCACTGCGCAGAGCTCTTCGGACCGTGATGATCTGTTTGTGCCTCTGCAGTGTTCACTAGCTCCTTTAGGGCCTTGAACACATCTAGCTTGTACATTGAAAGAGCCTAATAATACTGTATATAATAATTGGCTATCATGGGAATCTGCTGAGATTGACAGCAGGTAATCTAAAAACACATAGAGATAAGAGTTAGAGGCCGCGATATATCATATGGTGATGACTAGATGTATCGAAAGAAAAACCAAGTAATTTTTTTAATTTTCACTATGGAATAAAATGTTCAACAAAACAGAAATATAATTAAAGGGAACAGAATAAGGTGACATAATGTAAATCTTACTATATTGTGTATATGAACACATAATTTGCTGTAGCCATAATTTAATTAAAAGCCTTTTTTTCCACACGAGGCATTGATGGATAAGGTTTTATTTTTTTTTTAAACACAGTATATTCTTTACATGAATTGCAGCTATGTAACTACCCCTAGAAACTGTTGAACACCATCTCTTTGAGTGCCCAAAACTCAGTGAGACAAGAAGAACGCTACTCCCTCCGAGACCAGACAAGTGGAACACCTTGTACGGAGGAAAAGAACAGCTTGTGAAAACATGCAAATTACACTTCATGGCATTGGGCCAAAGTGCGAAAGCTCATGCGCCGCTGGATCGATAACAACAACATAACAACAACATGAATTGCAGCACAAAACATACTGTTTGTGTTATTCTGAACCTATCTTCTAAATGTTGTGCTCCTTTACATACCTTTAACATTTGTGTTCTGAGTATGCTGTATTTGTTTGTGAACTTCAGGTGCTAGGATCTGGCTATTTCTGGGTTTCCTGTTGGCCTTTGGTGCCCTGATTGCTGCCAGCTGGATCCTTTTTGGTTTCTATGTGGTTGGAAGTGAGTATGATCCTACTTGAGGTGATAAGTATTACAATCCGACTCATGTGACAGACTCTCTGTAAGAGAAACAACACAGCCTGATTCCCTTTAAGAGGGACAACATTGCTTCTGTCTGTTTGCCCTACCAGTGATGGGAGATTGATGAACAAATAATTCTGATTATACTTGTCTTATATAAACTGCAGATTTCATAGCTCTGGTTTCATGTTCTGACTTAATGTTACCAAAATCTGTAGTCTAAAATTTATGTTTAAGAAGAAAAAAGACATTTTAGAGGTTTTTTTTAGATGTGAAATAATATGAAAATAACAAGAGATATGTGCAAAAGATTTATGAATTGATAAAACTAGTTTGCAAAATGTAGAAATTACCCAATGGATGGAAAGAGTCATTATTAATACCCAAATTAAAAGAAAGAAGATAAGTAAAAATATTAAAAACATAGAGGAATATCACTATTGTCTACAAGCTATAAGATACTATCGTCGGTACTGCTGAACAAGCTAAAACCATACGTTGAAGACATATTGGGTGCTTACAAGACTGGCTTTAGGACATATCAACAATAGATCAGATATTTATTTTACGGAAAATAGAGCAAAATAGGGAAAATATAAGCGATGTATAAGGTCCGACAATTAAGTAATGAGACTAATTCCATAAAAATTTAAATAATCAACTGTTGAAGATATTACCTGTATCTGATTTAAAATAAACCCCTTGTGCATTGATACACAAGTGGCACGATCTAACAAACACTGGAACAACCTCTGTAGTTCATCTGTTGTTATGGCCCTTAAAGTCGATGTTACGACCCTTTCGATGTCATCAATATTGTTAAAGAAGCATCATTTCAATTATAACTTTATTTTTGGAATAGAAAATAATCACAGTGAGACAAATCTGTAGAATAGGGTTAAAGGCTGAGAACACACACTTGTTTTGGGGCCAAAAATTCTTGATGTTTTTGGTCATCAGACAACGAATGTGGTACAAACTGGTTCTGGACATAATCTTGCATTAACATGTTATGAATGGTCTCTCTGTTAACACCAGATTCATCTGCCATCATCCCCACAGTAAAAGAATGATCTTCCTGTATCCTTTCTCTGTCTTTTGCAATGAATTCATCATTATGAACAGAAATTTTGCCTCCAGGTCTGGGTGCATTAATAATAATTTCCACACCTCTTTTGAATCGTGAATTCTACCTGAAAATTTGTGCACGAGATAAAAAATTATCCCCATAAACTTGTTGCATCAATTCAACTGTTTCAATGGCGCTTTTTCTGAGTTTTTAAAAAGAATTTAATGTTAGTTTTTTGCTCTGTGCTGATTACGTAACAATGCACCTCCGATTAGTTCAAGAAAATTGCGGCTTGTTTATTGTCTGTTATCGAGCGGCAATGAAAAGTTGCCAGATCATAGATTAATGTTGCCTCTTTAGATTCCATGCTTTGCTTCATAGATGGCATTTTTGTCTTAGCCATAATAAAATCAGTCATATTACTTAATTGTTGGACATGGTATATAATGTTTTTTGTGTGCTGATTTTAAAAAGGCATATGATAGTGTACATAGAAAAAGTTTATGGTATGCTATGAAAGTCTTTGGAATACCAAAGGAGTTAATTACCATGACCAAACTAAGTATGGAAGCCACTTATAATATGGTAACATAAAGGCAGAAGGTCAGACCATTTTTGTAAGAAAGTTGGCTCACTTGTAATAATGTTGGCTCGCTAGGGAACAGACAACTTTCTTCAGTTAATAACGCCAAACAGTCGTCAGTTTGCAAGTATACATTCTTTCAGTTTATTCTTCCTGATTCTCATATTACACAGTTATTCAGTTACCAAATTTGCTACTGTTCCCACAGTACATCTCTAGTCATCAGTCACACAACTTTAGGACATATTAGTTACTTTCACAGCTGTCTTCTTCAAGCTCTGGTTCCCAACTGATGAAGAGGCAACCTCGGACTTTGCCTGGTTCATATCTTCAGTTGCCAATATCATATGCATCTTCTCTGGCACCGGTTTTCGGCTTGACTTGCTATGACCGTTGAGACCATGCGAAGCAAAGTCATCACATTTTTCAAATAAAATCTGGTTTAAAGCAAGGTGTTGCTCTGTCCCCACTTCTTTTCAACCTGGCTTTGGAGAAAATTATAAAGAAATTGAAAAAAGAGTGTACTAAAGGAGAAACTACAAGAATACTTGATTGTGCAGATGATATTGATATTGCTGTAGAAAAGGAACTAGAGATGGTAAAAACACTGACTCTTAAAAGCAACAGCTCACAAAGGGGGACAAGTTATCAATCAAGATAAGATTAACTAGACAGGGAAAGAATATAAACTCCAGCCACATACAAATCAGTAATATGAAAATCAAAGGATCGGATACAAGTAAAGTACTTGCGCAACTTTAGCTGCTCCAACATGCTGAGAGAAGAAGTACAATCTAGAATACTATCTGGAAATAAAGTATGCTGTGCCCTTCAACATCTGCTAAAGTCAAAGTCTCTGTCTCGCAACACCAAGAACACAATAGATCAAAATATGTAAAACATTGATAAGACCAGTTGTATTGTATATGGCTCTGAAACTTGGAGATGAAGCCTTATTATACATTTTTGAAAACAGTCTTACCATAAATCTTTGGACCCTCAAAGTTGCAAACAGCGGGAAATGGAGAGTGAAAAACAACAATGAAATTCATAATTTGTTTAAATCACCATTGAACACTGGCATCATGATGGCTAAATCACCATTGATCACTGGCATGATGGCGGAGAGCTACCCGCCGAGTATACAAAACGGTTGCTATCCAGTTCACCAACCAAGGACAGACTCCCTTCTCCAACAGTCTTACGATGAATCTTTGGACCCTCAAAGTTGCAAACAGCGGGAAATGGAGAGTGAAAAGCAACAATGAAATTCTTAATTTGTTTAAATCACCATTGATCTCTGGCATCATGATCGCTAAATCACCATTGATCATTGGCATCATGATGGCGGAGAGCTACCCGCCGAGTATACAAAACGGTTGCTATCCAGTTCACCAACCAAGGACAGACTCCCTTCTCCATAAGCGCTTTCATCAAGATACTTTATCTGACTCTGTTGTAAGCACCTTTAAATTAAGTGCCGCTGCCACCGTTCCCTGTCTTATCTAGAAACCTTCATGGGTGTCAAAGGCAAAAGTTGCTGCATTACCCTGTGTCCTTCCCTGGATGGTAACTTCCCTATGTAGCAACTGCCTATGTGGCTTCTAAGTTTCCAAATGTCTTGTCGCCCCAAGTGTCATTAATAAAATGTTCCCATTTGGCTTTTTTTTTTCCTTTGCTGCACAACACTAAAAAACCTCTATCCTATCTTATCTCTTTCCGCACACTCCAATTGCTCATGCATGCTAAGGGATGTTTGTTCTGAAATTGTTTTACTTCAGCTCTCTTAAACTTCCATGCCTGTTCTACCTCAGATGTCCACCATGGAGGCTGCACAAAAGTAAATCTGATATTTCTTTTCCATGCCCTCTGTCGGAAGTGTCGAAGAAGGGTGTCTGTCCGCTCCCACTTGAAAGACCTGCATGAGTTTACAGGAAGACACAGGAAAGGGGCTGAAAGAGTTTCAGTGCAAACGTTAGGGTAATCACACACATGTTGTCATCACAGGATACTAAATGTCATCCATGTTTCCAGGAGTTGTGATCAAAACCTGATATGCCACACACACAAAAAGGTGGCCGTATCAAGCACAGCAGCCAAAATAAGAGCAGAAAGCATTGTACCTGGAAGGGTACAGGGGCAGGGGTCGACCAACACGAAGATGGGCACAGGATATCAGTGACACCTTGAATATGCAAGTGTATGAGGTGGGATAGCTGGTAAGAGACCGAGTTTCTTTTAAACAGACTGTGATGAGAGCGAGGTTCTGCAAAGGACCTTTTACATGGTGATGATGTGATCACTGTCACATTTGTATCAGTATAGCTATAACCACACTTGTGTTTGTGTACATCTTCTTGGTGCTTTCACATTCATTCTTCTTCCAGATGTGGATCCTGATTGGCCTGGTATTGCTGTTTTCTTGCAGAATGCTCTCATCTTCTTCAGGTCAGTATTCACATAGCTTGTGTAGTCAGCCAGTCGTATGTTTGTAAGTTATTACTCGTGTGGCATGTCAGGTTTTGCTGTTTTTTCTTTTAATTTTTAAATAAGTCTCTGCTTTGCTGGCTGATTTGATTGGTCATTTTTGGGAGGAGTGAGCTTTTTGAGCCAGCCAGTACAATGTGAGTAGTTGGGTACATTATCGAAACAGGGCTGCTTGTGAGTATTCTGGTACTACTTGTTGTTTGAACTGTAGTTGTCTGTTTTGTTAATACTCATTCCATGTCTGGTATTCTTCTTTTTTCTGCCCTGTATCCCCAGTGGAGCATAGGCCCTCAACAAACCCAGGCCAAGTTGTCCTAACTTTTGCTATTGCAAGCAGCTCACCCTGTATCCTTCCTATCATTTTTCATTCTTCACTTCTCATCTTCATATGTTTTTTTGGTCTGCCTTTATTTTTTATCACTTGTGAGTTCTTGTGCAAAGTTATTCTAATGATATTGTTCTCAGGTTTTCTCAACATGTGTCCTTGGGTAAATTAACATTGTTTATGAATTCAATTGTTGAATGGTGAATGTTGAATTAAGAATCGATATCACAGCACTCTGGACACCCTATAAGCACTCCATCATCACATGCAGCAGCAGGCGAGGATTTCCAATTCTGATGGCACCAGTAACTGTCTGTGTATCAGTCTAGCCTTTTCCTTGAATATTAAGCGTCGGCCAGATCCACTGGTAACTCTTCCCAGCGCCATTCTCATCAGACCGCAGTGGTCTTTTCAGCTGTTTGTTATGTAAAATGCTTAGGTTCCTTTTCCATATTTTAGGATTATGATATGTATGGTGCTAGCCCTAAATGTGTAAAGACCAGCTGGCACTTGAGTGATGTGGTCAGTATGCTGCTGACCACCTTTTCTCTAAGAACATTTCCTCATGCTCATGCTTTAGCCTCATACTAATTTTTCGTTTCACACTCATTTTAAATATCATTTGGTGAACATTTTTGGTCAGACAACATCACAAATGAAGAAAATAAAGTGCTATCAAAGGAAAAAGATGGAGATGACATGTTTGCAAAATGCCTTCTAACATTTTTCCAAGAACAGATTTCTGGTGGATGGCAGATGAGGGGGGGGGGGGGGGGGAAGAGGCATAGACAACGTAAGGAAACCTGGAAAATGACAGTTTAAACAAGTGCAGTAAATTGATGGGACACCACATGGAGAAAATCAGCAGACAAGCAGCAGTGTAGATCACTTATGAATGCCTTATGTGTCAGCAGTCAGATAAAGAGGATATAGATAGAAACTCAAAGCCCCCCCCAAAAAGCATGTGTTCAGTTTGCTGTAGCAAATGGATCATCATAATCTAGTGAAAGTGATGCAGTGAGGAGTGGTGACGGGACCTGGCTAATACTGGAGGCTCAGAGGAAAAGCAAGATAGTCATATAATCAGCTGCTCTTGGTACGATCGATATGGAACTCTTTGCTGGCTGCTGACGGTGGGGAGGAAATAGTTATGGGATTTCCCCAAGTTTCTGACTTTGGTTCTTGAATTAGCTCAGCTCAGTTCACGCCTAAATAAATGTTTAAAATATGCTCAGTGGGGGTCTGAACATAAGACTATCGACCCAGTAGACAAGTGTCGTAGCCACTGAGTTTCCATGGTTCCTTTACATACATGTGATAAATGCTTCCTGAGATATTGTGCACTGCAGGCGCCCCTTTTATAAAAACTGTTTGTGTGTAATTAAAATCTGATATTCATTTCATTGTTTTTTTATGTAGAAAGATCACAGCTGGACAGGTTTGCAGTGACAGAAATGAAAAAATTTAGGCTAGGTTAGATGAACAAGAAGCCTCAGGAAATCAAAAAGTAAGCAGATTTTGGGGAATATGAAATAGGATCTGAAACAAGCTAATTGAGGCTAGAAACTAGATGATACTAGTGCTCGCAGCTACGTAATATGGCTTTCATACATGCAGCAGGTCATCTCACAGGCTTCAGTAATGGGAACAGACAGCCTGAAAGCATACCATACAGCAACAGGTAATTTTACAGATTCCTGTACTTGCAACAGTTAGGATTACATACTGTAATCCTTGCAGGGATAGGCTTGCAGAATTTTGTGCTTTCATCTGGTTGTGTCACGTGTAGGAGCTAGCAACAGATCCATTTACAATATCTGGTGCTTGAACTAGGTGGGTTCAGGTTCAGACCACTGTATAATACAACACAAAGGATGAGCTTACTAACATTTTCTCCAATTTTGTTTTCCAGTGCATTTGTGTTCAAGTTTGGACGAACTGAGGACTTGTGGGGTTAACGTGAAGATAGATTTGTGGATATCGGAACCACTGTATTTCTGATGCTAGCAAAATGATGGAGATGGGACAGGGTGTTTAACTGTGTGAGTGGGGGATGATGCATTTATGAGGATAAGATAATGGAATTATGTGCGTGGTAAGATAATGGATTGGTAGGAAGCACAAAGTGATGGATTGTTGTGTAGGGGGTGTTGTAAGCTAGAGACGCATCCATAGTAGTTGATATAACAAGTCAAAGTTGAAGATGGAAATGTTTTCAGAAATATTTGTCTCACTTTACAAACAAAATTCTCAGTGTGGTGTCTGTGTAACTTTTTTGTTTTCCAGAAGAATTAATTGATATATTTGTTGCTTTAACTGCACTAGACTGTTTTTGCTTCTTGTATTCGCTTTTATTTAATTGTGTGCTTCTGTGTCAACTTGGTAATGAATTGCTACTGGCTGGTAATTATGTTTGTGTGTTTTGAATTGATACCCAAAAAAAAAAAATCAACTTTAATAAAAAATAAAACTAGTCAGAGTGCTGCTCTTTGCAGACGGTGCTGCAGTTACTTCACTCGGAGGAAGAACTGCAATATTTACTAGCTGCATTCATTTATGCCTGTTGTGAATTTGGATTAAAAATCAGCAGAATGAAGACAAAGATTTTGGTGTGAGGAGTTATTGATAGACTAGCAGTCTCCATTGATGGTAAAGAGCTTGAGACGGTTGATAATTTTACAGATCTGATAACTCAGTTAATAAAAAACTGTACCGGCCAAGAATCAACATCAGGGCAGGTAAGGCAGCGACAGCAATGAGCAGATTAACAAAGAAAGTTTGGGAGAGCAGAAAGCTCATGATCAACTCAAACATTATTTGTTCTCTGCACTGTTCTTTATAGCATTGAAACATCGACTTATTCACACCAGGAGAAAAGTCTAAAAAACAGTCATGAATAACATGAATGTAGCAGCCAGGAAGCCTTATTCAGCATGTAGAATTGTGGATGGTGATATGATACAGCTACACAGGTGACTAGATATAATAACAGCATTTTGGAGGAAGTCAGGTATTTGTCAGAATGCTGTAAGCTGATGTTGGCTGGCATGGACTGACTGTTTTTGGCGTCGGCTGGTTCAGTCACTGGTCAAATAACTGGGTCTGGTATTTGATGTGTTCTAACCCATCAGTGTATGCTGGACACACAAGCTCTCCCTAATTGTTACAATTTGCTATTTTTTACACAGGCTGTGTTTATGTTTACAGTTTTGTTGCAATCATTCTGCTTTTATACAGTGGTATATGTATACTTAAGTATTTTATGTTTCCTTTTCATTTGTAGTTTGTAATGACACTATACTTATATAAATGATGCCATGTATATATAATTTATGTTTATGTATTGGGTGTGTCAAGAACTTTGGTTATTCTAAGCATTTATTTGCCAGGCAACTCAGCTGTACAGTTTTTTTTTCTTGTGGTCATGATTATATTCTTATTGCTGATAGATCTTTCTTACCTAAAGCACTCACACACTGACTTTCCGGAGGTGCAGTTTTAGAGTGAATTTTAAGCCACAGTTAGTAACAGTAATTTGAAAATCATTGCTATTAAGTGGCTACAAATTACACCTTTCATCAGAACGCTGACTCAAAAATTAGTCAAGTGGTTTTTTTGGTACCTACACTAGGTGGGTGCCAGCCAGATAGAGATACCTAGTGCAGTGCTGCATCATTTGAGGACTTTTCAGGCAGGAATGAAGACTGCGTCCCCTACAACATATTCATCAGATAGATAATAAACATGCACACAGAGAGAAGATGGATTGACAGGGTTGCATCAGCGCTGTTTGAAAAAACTCTCTATGCGATGTGGTGTGTGGGCATCAGAACCTCAACATATCTTAATGGGCTTGCCACAGGGGGTCAACATTGTCTTCTGTTCTTTTCAGTGTATAGACATCAGTATTCACCAGTGCACAGATAGTAGTTCTGAGCAGAACAATGTCTTTTGCAGACATTATCCTTGTGTACTGGTGAGGAAGAAACAGGCATGCAGTTAACAACGCTACAGACTCTGAGTGGTGTCAGGAATTCAGAGCAACAGCTAAACCTGGCAAAAGCTTCTTTAACATGGTTCTATTTGAATACCCACATTGTCAGTGCACCTGTGCCAGTCATGAGCATGTGTGGTATAAACATTGACTGAGTGAATGCAGTGAGATACATTTTCATAACTTTCGACAAATGCATATCATAGAAGCATCATGTAGACAATGTCCTAGTTAGAGCTAGGAAAGGAGTGATCTCACTGAAGGCAGTGACATTCACAGACATTGAATAGTGTCTACTTTTCCTTCTCTGTTAAGAACTTGTATTTAGTGTTATAGACTATTGTCTGGGCCTCTTCACTGTCAGCAGAACCCAGTTAGAAAGACTGGTCCGAGTTAGAAATGAGGCCATGAGATTCATACTCGGCTGCACAAAGACACCTCATGCCACCCCATGCGGTATGTCCTGGGCTTCCCGACAATGGCCACCAGATATAAAGTAGAGCAGGTTAAGGGGTACATGAGAGTATCAGCAGACATCAACCACCCACTGCACAACGCTATCAATGATATAAAAAAAGGATGCATCTAAAAAGAGGCTCCTCCGGGATGGCTGAGGCAGAATATTTAATCCAGCAAGTATGTGACCTAGATGAAATCAGGCACGGAAAAGAATGGATGGATACACACATAGACATGCATGACATGTCTAAAGTTATAATAACACTGGGGAGGTACTGCAGGAGTCAGATACCTGCCACTATAGACGCCAAGATATTAGCACTGATTGATCAGCATGTATGACTAGAAAACATAATAATTTATGCAGAAGTGTTCATGAAGCACGGGTCAAGATCAGCATGGGCATAGACAGCACAAAGGATGGGGAAAACAATAAAAGAGGATAGTGGCGCTTACAAGACAACTACATCAAGCATGATCATTGAGATAACCTCTGCTTCCAGAGCACGCTTATGGGTAGCAGAAAAAGCGGCCACACATGCAGTAATTGTTTCCGTTTCCGTGAACATGCTTGAGAAAATTGCAACAGGTAGTTTATGTTCGGAATGAGTAGAAAGCATAGAAAGTCATAGTTTACCTCCATCATCTTGATCTACACATCTGGGCACGCCGGACTAAATGGTAATGAAAGAGCTGACCAGCTGGCAAGTAATGCATTAATGCAAACGGAAAGAAGCATGGACAGAGCTGATATCATCAATGCTGTACGGATTCATTTGGCAGAATAATGTTGACTTTCTGATGCTAGCACGATTGTGTGACCTAGGAGTTAATCTTGGTGAAGCTTGTCTATGCCATCTTCAAGATCAAGACAGGAGAAACTTTAACCAGCTTCTCATTGGAACAGTCAGTGGAGGTAGCTTGGAGTTGCTGCTGCTTCAGAGAACTGAATGTGTACAGTTGTTGACTATCATAGCAACGCATAACATGTTTGTGTGTTTGACACATTGTGGGATGTGGGTAATATTTCGGTGAACATCTTATTAATATTAATTGTAGGTACACAGTGTCTGAAAGTCATGGATAAAACACTTCAAGGAGTAAAATATATTTGATCAGTGGCAGAGCACTTATTGTTTATAACCGTGGGCAGTGACGCTGGTTCACATCTCCCGACTTTACCTTTTTACCTTATCTCCACACACTGTAAGCCAACTATAGCTTGTTGTTTGCTGTTTTTCCACACACCATAAACCAACTGTTTAATGACTTATTCTCCAACAACTTTCCGTTGGCTTGTTTGGAATATGTTGCTATCCACAAATTAGGGACAAACAAATGTAAAGGTGACAAGTTTTATCTTCAAGATCAGAGATCCATATGTAACATTTGATAACAAAAAGAAATAGTAAATCTCCACAAAATGTGTATATTGTTTTTTTTTCCCCTTCAAATTTTGGAATACAAATTTTTGCAATTAAATGTCTCTTATTTGTCTTAGATTGTGTTTATTTATTGTAGTAACCAATTCTGTGATTCCAGGTTGTGTAATGTATGTTGTGCACTCTGATGAACACATATTTGACATACTGTTATTTCTGTTTTTCATCTTCTTTTCTTAGCTTTCAGCATCTGTAAACTTCAGCAGCAAGTTCTGGTTCTTTGTCCACTTCTGGACTTTAGTTCCAGAAGTTAATTTTTTTGTGCACATGCATTTTACAGATCTGACTTGTTTGAATGCAGACTGTTGGTTCCTCGCCTCCCAGCAGGTACACTCTGACTTTGAAGTCATCCCCATGGGTAATTTATGGGCTTTTACATGGACTCCCCCTTTTCAATGCAGCAGCCATCACAAGGTTCATCTACTGACTGTTTCCATGAGAAGTTGATTATAATGTCTTCTATCTTGACCTTGAAGACGGCACCGACGTGCTTCACTCATCAGATCTTGTTAACATCAAAAATTCATCTTCACCTTAGATGTTACCTCTCTCTACACATCTATTCCACATTCGGATGGCCTCCTAGATCAGAAAGTCAGCCCTGCAATAATCACTGACCCTTTGATACGTCTGGCTGAGTTAGTGCTCATTCTAAACTCTTTCGAGTTTAATAGCCGTTATTTCAACCAAATCAGCGGTGTCGCTATGGGCTCACAGTCGACGTCACTGCATTCTGGCAATTCCCTGGCGTGCTCAGTCCTCTGATGCAGCGGTCACTCCAAGGTACCTCTACTGATTTTGTTACCACGCGGAGCTGATTATAATGTATGATATCTCGGCCTCAAAGATGACATAGGTGTTCTTCACCATGCTTTACTCCCACACCACCCGTCCCATGCTGACCACACCCATATATCCCACACCACCTATCCCATGCTGACCACACCCATATATCCCACACCACCTATCCCATGCTGACCACACCCATATATCCCACACCACCTATCCCATGCTGACCACACCCATTTATCCCACACCACATATCCCATGCTGACCACACCCA